CATAAGCGAGTACATAAAAACAACTTACATTTTCAGATGCATTGAGCGACGCATAACTTTACAACTCTTTACTATTGCTCACCGGTTCTAAAATACATGTAAACACTGGGAAATTTGATCGCTCAAGAATCAACAGAATAGTCGCAACCGTCGTGTCACGGCGTGAGAAATTGGTCAAACCAGTAGCTGGCTTCTTTTACCATAAACGCAGTCATTTGGTGGCCGATGCCCGGCTCTGCTATGAACTGGATTTTAAGGCAATTTAAAACATAAAATCGATTTAATCTCCAGAAGGAAAAATGCCAGACATGCCAAAGAAACAAGTACGAGGGAAGATATAATAGTGATCATACTTTCCACATTCATGGGTTCCCCGATTGATAGATAACTTGTTTAACCAATACCTTAAAGTTATGTATACTCTGCGCATCTTCATAAGCCTTGCATGCTCTTGACTTGGGGATTTCCAGACCAGCAAGTGGACATCGAGGATCTTCCGCACCTATTATTTTTCGAAAAATTTGTACGATAAACACATTACATGATCACTAACAACCAACAAAACTGCAATCTTCACGATGATTCAATTGAAGAAAAAGAAGAAAGTTTCAGGGGTCATGTATTGCCTCTAGATTTAAGAATATAATAGTTCTCCGTGTTAGAATTTGGACATGCCAATATGGAAATAAGTGGTATGTATAGGCACACACATGCATGCTATACGTGCGCTATTGGTAGTTGAAGTGTAGAAAAGGATTTTATTTTTACCATTCACAATCAACAGAGGGCGTGGTGCAATAGCAGGAATTGTGTAAGGAGAATCAAACTTGGAGGCTAGACCAGGAGCAATCCTATCCCAGACCTGGTCAGATAAGTAACATTGTAAGATGCCATCCCTTCATATTTACAATCAATTACCCTTCTAGTTTGGACATAATCATACTAAAAGTATAAATCAGACTATCCAGACAAATATCTGAAGAGTCAAGTATGTTACTAGTAACCTTCTCCACAACTTCATTGTCAATCCAAGTCTTCCCGAGATCAATTCGTGCTGCTGCAGTACAACCAAGAAAATGAAAGAATCAGAGAATTAAACACAACAACACTCTCTCCAAAACAAAAGTAGCACTAAGAGAAGGTCTTGGTTCAAATGAATAGAACAAAAGACAATTTCATTGTTTTATTTCCAATAACATGCATATGTATACATATATAAAGGACTTTTGAATCCACTACTCTATAATCATATCCAGAGTGAACATTAACAAAATGAAGTGGAAAAAAAAGCTACTATTGGAAAGGAACTAAGAGCGAAACTAGTCATTGGAGTGGAACCAAAAGCACCTTGTTCTAATATTTAATTCACTTTTCTACTTATCTTACCCTCAAAGACAGGTTTTATACTGTCAACTCGAGCCTGCCACTTATCATTGTCTATGGCCCATCGAAACCCCTGCAATCATAGTTGCCTAGGATGTTAATTCCAATCACACTGGGTAAAATTATAATTAATGAAATTAGACACACCACCTGAACACCAATAATAGGGACCACTACTGCATAGCGGGTATCAGCAGCAGCAGCAAACCATGCATGCATACCTGCATAACAAAATAACAAGAAATATATATTCAAGTTCCCTCCTTATAAAGTTTTGTCTCACAAACCTCCAAGTGATTCACCAGTGATTCCTATCCTAGTAGGGTCTACATCCTCCCTCTGTGTTAGATAATCTGCCAATTTTATCAAGTCCCAGGTCTGCGATAACGGAATTTATGTTGTTATGAAACAAAATCATCAGATAAACAAAACCCACTGATCTCACTAACTACATTTCAACTTATCAATTCTCGTATTTTACAAGAAGATAAGTAAAGTTACCGTATCAAATAAGAATGGCATTGTATCACCCTTTTTCCACGATGATATGAGAGCCTGCATGTGAATTAGATCCCCTGATCACGGATAAAGTTCATATAGCTTAAGAGTGTTTACTAACTCAAATAAAATCAGGAAGCCAGACTCAATCTTTGATTGGTCCACATTGTCATGAGAAAACCATGTGAAACTCAGCACCAATACCCTAACTCACACTCTCAAAATAAGTACTTGTCTGATGCATTATTTTGTCACGGTACTTTTGCCCTCACTTCTGTGACATCACGTGCAATCAAATAGCATCTAGATCATGCTTTTAGCAACCCATAGGCCAAAATTGTATACTTACTTCTTTGACATGACCAAAATTGCATAATTGAAGCAAAGTAAAGGTGTAAATATACACACATCTCGGTAAGTGGATATATTGCTGGCACGTTCACCATGGTAGCGAGAATCAACGGCAATTGCTACATATCCCCTTGAAGCATATGCCTGAAACAGAACCCGAAAAACAAAGCAAATAATGAAAATTCCTCATTCTAACAAATTGTAGTCGAAAAAGACTGAATATTGGGGATTAGGTACCTCAAGCAATGGTCTTAACCATTCTTTGTTTTTGTTTGTACTGTGAAGAAAAACAACAGCAGGCCTTTTCTGGGTATTGTTTTCCTTCATGCTTAAAATCCACACGGGTAACCGCCCTTGCTCTCCTTCCTATCATTGACCATATTAAGAACATTATGCCTATATCAAACTCCATATATATGTTGCTCAAAGCTCCAATTACCTCAGTAATTAAGTAAAGGTTTTCCTCGTGTAGTTTGTCCTTAAAATTGGGGATGTTGGCCTTGGGACAAGCGTTCATTGCCTGGTAAATATAATAACCAACAACACAATCACAACTTTCAAGTTCCAACTTCCAACATAAAAATGTACAACATTGTAGTCAGATTTGAACCTCACTGAAAGTTGGCGGAGAAGCCTCCTGAAACAATGGATGAGCCACTGGTTTTGCCGGTTCAACCGATAACGGAACTGAAAGAATTCAAACATCCATCCATCGTCACCCACACAGTCAAGTCAAGTATGCATAAACAAAAGAGTTCATTTTTTGCTCACCACCAATGGTTATGGTGCAGCACCATGCTGTCATGACTTGTATAAATCAACCACATGATGGGTAGCTTTTAAAAATTAATAATTACTCATAATGAGGAGACAGACAAAAGCAAAGACCTTATTATAGAAACCAACCACATAACTTTTTTGTAATGGAGTATTTTGGTACGCATCAGTGATTGTGTTACTCAAGGATAACAACGTAGCTGCCATGGCTTCCGGCTTTGTGGAACGGTGGAAGAGGAAGAGTACGGTGGGGTAATTTTGGTTACTGCAGAAAATTGTTTTTTTTTTTTAAATGTTAAAATACTCTTTCTCTCTCCTCACTAAGACATAATTAATTATAATTAATTAATCTCTAATAGCTTAACTATGGTTAATTTACATAACACTTGGCAGCCTTAGAACGAAATGGGTGAGCAGTGCTATACTGAAAGAAAGCAATTCAGCCTTTTCCTCTGTTTTCCCAAACTTTCTCAGTAACCAAACAGGAAAGGCAAGAAAGTTTCAGAAAGTTTCAAAATTCACTCACCTTCGCCCGATCGTCTGCTACGCAGGACTTTCAGGAACTCATCCCGAAGCTTCTGGGCGTCGTCGAGAGCTTCCTCCATTGCTGGGCTCATTGCAGTCTCAGTGGAATCGGATACGCTTCTGGTCTGGGACGATGACCGGTATTTATAGGACAGTTTTGGCGCAGAGGTGTGTAGCGATCGTGGACAAGTTTGTGCCACGTGTGAGAGTACGGTGCTTGGCGAATTGGAGTTGCTGGATGGGAGAGTGAAGCTCAGAGGTTGTTGGTGAGCATTAAGGAGAGAGCGATGCATGATGAATGATGATGATGTGTTTTCCATACAATGGCACGATAAAGTAATAAATACAAATTATAAGGGCCTTTTTGGATTGCGATGGTTTGATCCTATTGGCACAGGGACAGGGTGGGTTGAGCTTTTTCTTTACCGACTGTTTGGCGCCTGAGAAAATGTGAGCAGATGAGGTTGGAGTGGTTTGCTTGCGTAAAAAGTTTTTTTTTTGTTGTTGTTTAATTTTGGATAAACTTGTGCATGAGTTAGCCTCACATTAATTTTCGTTTAAGAATTAAGCTTGGGAAATATTTTATTGGATAATGATTTTGTTGGATAAGACTGAAACCTACTACGGTTTTTTTTTTTTTGTTTTGTCGGTCAAAAACATTTTTTTTCTTTCAAATTACAGCGATTGGGGAGGAGGCACTTTTCCTGGGATTTGAACATGTGACCATTTAGAGAACGCGGTGAACACCTCATTTTTACTTAATTTTATTCAATTTTGATCTCATTTATTTATGGATATAGTTGATTGTTTAAGGTATACAATGACCATTTGGAGCTTTGATTATAGATAGGCTTTAACTTTTTAATCTTTGGCTGAGACTTAAAACATGAAATCAAAGCGATTAATCAAACCGAGATTAGAATACTAAAGTTTAAGTTCTAAATGGCAATTTTATACCCTAAAACAAAGTAGAAATGAGATTTTCTCAACACCTCGTCTGTTCAGAGAATAACTGGTGAAGCACATATTACATTCTTTTGCTGAAATTTCCGAGCAACCAAACAGAAAACTTTTGGTATTCTATTCAGGGTGTCATCTTTAAGGATTGGGTTCAGGTGTTTGTCTCATTGTGTTGTTCAATCATAATGGAAACAAATTTGTTTGAATCAAACTCAACCAGAAAAACGAAAGTAGTAGGAAGCAACATTCAGACTTCGATCAGAAATGAAATGACCAATGAAGGAAGATGCAAGGAAGCTCCACCACTCTTGGCATGGGATTGGCTTGGCTTTTTCGAAGTGCGCTTTCATGGACTTTTTGGAAATGTGCCTTCATGGACACGTTACAACAGAACACTATAAATTAAGCAAATTTTAAATTACCTGTAAAACATAAATATTCACTTTATCTTAGGCAGCACATAATGCATAAGAAAATTCGAAAGAAAAACTATTTCGAGAATTAATTTATGCTAGGAGAAAAAGGGTCTAGCTCTTATTAGTTTCTCTCAATGATGTTTCTTAGTGCAAGAAGACCTAAGATCAACTGATGTGGCAGGAAATCATACCAAGATGCCTCAAAAGAGGCACGGTGGTAAGCTTTTAACTACTTCTATCCTAAGTTACAACTCTCTCAATATTTGATTTTATTTCCCGGTACTATTTTTCAATGGGCAATCCGACCTTTAGAGACAGATCATTGTCACCAGAAGTGACCGTTGCTACCGGATGAAGAGTCGTTACCAGCTGAAGCATTTTACCGTTTGCTGAAACAGGAGATTTTGCAATGCCGTTGCTGTATGCCTCTTTCTGGCACCTGGGTTCAGGGCTAGGTTTTGCAGTTCCACCCTGAACAGATTCTCTTTGGCTTACCCTCTCTCTTTTGGCTTGGGGAGAACACATTGTTTCTGCAAAGTGAAAGACAAAGGACTCTTTCTTGTTAGGCTAACTGGATGGATGAATTGCACAGAAAATCAATCAAAGTCGCAAAATAGCATTTCGGTCCCCAGGATTCCCTATCACCATATCTAAATTTTTGATAGATCTAGAAAGACGGGTCACAATAAGTTTTGGTATGGGGTCATTATAACATTTCAAATTGAAATTATGGGGCTTAGCTGTGCAGAAATCTTACAAGGAAAAGAAGAAACAGAAACAGACATTATGGGAAAATTTGATTACTGGATTTGATGTGGATGTGGGGAATTCAAAATAACAGAATCCCTTTCATATCATGACTAAAAATAAAGATTCATTCGAGAACTACAGTCCACTTATTATAGCAACAGAAGATCATCCAAGTTATCACAATGCTTTCCATGTTTTCATACAAAATTTTAACGGACATTTTGCTTAGGACTAATCTTTTGTAATCAAGAACCACCAACCCCCCTTCTCTCTCAAACATTAGTTTTTGACAACTATGAGATTAGAACCGGAACTTGAAGAAGCTCACCTTTTATGCTCCCTCGAGTAATAAGATGGTTAAGGAAATCCCTGAACCCGGTCAGTACAAGCCTTTCCTGTTCCGCATAAACCTCTGTGCATCCTATTTCCTGAGTTGAGTTCTGAGTCATGCTTGGACTACTGCTTCCCACACCATTTGGCAATCCAGCTGCCATAAACATCTTATCTTGTTCATCACACATCAGGGCAAGTGTTCCAGGGGACATTGGCCTGCTATTTTGCACATCACCTCCATTTAATCCAGAATAGCTGCTCTCATCTCTATCTGCTTCTTTCACTCCTAAATGGTCATCATGCACGGAATTTTGAATATCATGTTCCTTTTTACATTCTTTCCCCTCTTGAGTGAATAAATTGGTACTAGACTCATCAATTGTCTCTCTGCGCCTATTTCCTGTACACGTTAAATTAGCAAATTCAAAACCGAATCACATATTTAAAAGACAAAAATATCTAACTGCCACTCTAGCAACTCAAGTGGGAATTATTAACATGCTAAGATCAGTGAAAAAAGAGATCGTTTAAATGCTTATACATATTGCTTTGGTTTACCAGCTAAATGGTAAGTTTAACTCCACAGGGAAATCAAAATGAAATCAGAAATCTATTAATTAATCTGAAAGAAATGGAAGTCCAAAGGGAAATGGCACAATGAAAATACAAGAGAAAAGAATATACTTGATTTGGGTCAATGACCATGAATTACTTGCTAGACACTTTAAAAACAGCCTATTGTTTATTTCCTTTAAAAACTAAAGTAAGGCAGTTCTAGTTGAAAATAAACAAAATAGAGTTACATGCCTTAAATAAAATATAGCCGTTTCAGTAAACTAATTATCTAAAAATTTGTCACTTGGTGACGACCCAATTGTAAATCCACATACTTCCGAAGCCTGTGGGGTTCTAGCTTATAGTGTCCCTTAAAATGCCTTAAATAAAGAAAAAGAGAGAGCTAAAAACTTAACAGTGAAATAAGGTGCAAGAGAAAAGAGAAATTTAATTGACTTCTGTAATAACCAAAACCTGCAAGTGCCTCTGCAGCAGCTCCTGAAACTACAACCAGATGTGAGCACAAATCCTTTATGTTCTTTGATTGGATAATATCCGCCAATGGAGATCTTCAGTCATGAAACGCAAAGATTATTATATTTTCAAGGAAAAATAAAGAAAAAGTTTCAATATAACTATGTTAAGAAAATTAAGACACCTGTATGTGGATTTTGAAGATCTTGATACTGCTGCATTAGCAGTGCGACAATTTGGAACAGATGACAGAGAAGAAGAGGCCAAAGGAGGTCTTAGATGATTTTCCTGTTTTAAGTCAATTAAATAATAAAGTTACTACAATGCCTGCTAGCTTGTGAAATAGAGGGAACGAAAATTCAAGGAAGAAAAAATAACGAACTGAATCCAAATTTAATCTTTAAGGGATTGTACTATTCAATAAATCTTTTTTTTTGTATAATAATGATCATAGCCTTCATGAGCTAGAAAAGGAGCGTTTATGGCAATTCAAGTATTAAGGCAATACAGGAATCTTTTAAGCCTGACACGAGCAATTTATCAAGATAGGCCTAACACACAAGTGCACATTCCATAGTCAAACCAAATGAAAGTTTAAATTACCTGTTGAGTAATTGAAGAAAAATGTACCTGTTGAGGTTGTTTAATCGGATGAGTTGTTTGATTTGTAGTGCCAAAATAGAGTTCGTAGCTCTTTCTTTTTCTGGACACCAGAGGGGTCCCATAACCAGAGGATCCAATGGCCCCACTGATGGCTGCATTAGCCTGCTGCATGTAGGCCACAGTATTGTGGTCTTCATGATGGAGAGCTCTTCTTTCTTCACTTCCTTCAAAGTTCTTGCAGCCCATGCATTTACAATTTTCAGAGCATAGAATATTGGCTTGGAAGCACTCACAATATTTCTTGAGGCACCCTGATTTCCTGCAATGACATCCTTTATTGTGCTTTCCAGGTGCTTGAATTTCACCAGCATCTTCCTGAATTTTTTCTAAGAAATTATTAATGCACGCTGAGCTGAATTTCCAAATGCAATATGCTTAACCCAAAAACACTAATAAGTCTACTAAAAGATATTAAGTATATACTATGCTTGCACCTCTCCTTGTTCCTGCTTCTCTGTATACTAGAATGAAATAAGTATAAGAATTAGTAAATGCAAGGGCACAGATGAAGTTTTAAATGAATCAGATTACATACCCTACCATCACGAGATTCTTGTGGGCTGCTAGCAATCTTTGGTCTGAAAGCATTTGGATTACGTTCTAAAATTAATCCAACTGCCTCCTGCCTAGCAGCTTCATTGTCCACATTATTGTGACAATTCGAGCAGTTGCAGCCTTCACAATAAATTCCAGCTGCAAAGCACTCACAGTACCTACAAAATGATTAAATTTTGACTCTAGGTAGTAAAAAGAATGTGGGAGAAACAGAAGAGATGATGAGCCACATACTTAGTCATAATCTAAAATATTTACACAAATTAAGATACTAAAAAGACACTATCACTTGGATAAATATGCTAGTAGAAACTGTACATCCAAAACAGAGTTGACAAGATATGCAAAGGTGAGCAGAAGCGTTCAGGACGAAAAGTGTGAATATCTGTAACATTTTAAGTCAAGAAATCATACACAAGGAGTTGTCGGGTATTTAAGTTCACATTCACAAGATCCCAAAAAATTCATAAATTGGAGCCCTTTGGTGCTAAAACTTATAAAGAGGAGGAAGTAAAGATGTCCTTACAACTTCAGGCACCGAGAGTTTTTACAATTACATTGCTTCTGCTTCTTAGGAGTGCCATCTTTTCCATCGCCACGTTGCCGTGATATAGGAGACTCTTGTTTACTGAGGAGAAACACATGCATACAAAGGTCAAGAAGAACATAATACAACAGATATCATAATCTAGGGGCTTAAACACGGTTCTTCTCTCTGCAGGACGTCTGGACTGTCAATATGGTGTTGATAACACAATAGAAAACATGTCAATAGCAAAATATATCGACTTGTTATCAAAGATTATCAACACAAATGCCGAACATTATTGATACAAAATCCGTCTCAGCTTGAACATATGCTTATTAGAAAAAGATAGACAAGCTTGGGCATTAAATCATACAGGCCTAATAAGAACATCAAATAAAATGTCAAAAGCATTGCTGTCACTTCTCTATGATTAAGATAGTTGATTTTCACTCCTTTTTTCGGTTAAGTTATTAATGTGCATGAATAATACCAGTATATCTGAAAATTAGCATATTGGCTCATAAATGTAAAATACACACTCCCTAAGCAACCACATTTGCCATTCAAACACACCATACCTATTTAGTACAATTTTCCTACCACAACAACAACATAAAGCTTAGTTCAAAAGTTCAGCTGAAATTGCATAAAAATTACCTCGCTTGCGATGTCGAGATCGAAAGCTTGTGCACCGGGTGCTGAATCCGAGAGTTCGCCGCCGGCGAGGGACTCGGCCGAGCCAGAAACTGTGGAATCGCCGGTGGCGGCGTTAGCTGTTTCGGTGACTGCGCTACCGCCGGCGGCGGTGGCGACTGTAGCTGCAAATGCACGTGCGATGTTGCCGGTGAGTTTTGTGACAGCTGCGCCTGCGACGGTGCCTGCAGCTGTAGCTGTAGCTGCACCTCCGGCAACGCTGCGTTTGCCGACGCTAGACACACCGTCGTGAAATCCAATTGCCTCGCCAATTTCTTCGGTGCGATTTGGGAGACCGTTTCGCTCTGCTCCATTAATCACCAATAAATTCAAACGCAAACATGCACAATCAGCCTCGAAATCCACATTTAATTTCCGAAACAAATGCTCAAAATCGTGAGAAATAATTGCACTTTGCACGCCATTAGTAACAACGAAACGATGCCGTTTCGGAGCTCAAGTCGTCATCGGAGACGGTTACACACCGACGGTGATTTGGCGGCGATTTCCATTACTAGAAATGCAATCATACTATTTTGAAAAATATAATTAAAAAAATGGTGTAAAAATTGTTCAAATAGCTTAATTTGAAGCTACTGTAATCTCGAATTGGATCAGAAAGCGGTAGAGACTGAACCGAACCGGAAGATTTGGGGAAGAAGATAGAGCAGCTCTCGCTTTTGGTTTTCTTTTTCTCTTTCTCTCCCTCTCGATGTTTTTTTGAAATTGAATTTCCTAAATAATGGAGGGCTAGATGATAGTGATTGGTGATCCAACGGTCTAGATTAAAATATTGGTCAAACGGTTGAGATTGGATAGAAGAGTGAGGAGATGAAGACCGCCGTTGGATTTGGGAGGGCTTAGGTTTCATTCTGGGAAAGCGACACGAGTGGAATTTGGCGCTAATTAGAGTCCAGAGAGGGTTGAGGGTCCGGTTGAGGGGTACACGTGTACGGGTGATACTGGATCTGACTTGACCTAGGGAAAATTGGACGGCTGAAATTTGAAACTATAAAGGCCAAGAAAAGTACGCGTAAATTGATTTTGAATGAGGAATTTAGTTCCCGGCGGCTACAGAGGAACAGTGTCGTTTTCTACAAAATTTGATCTTTTCTTATTTTTCCCCGAAATTATATTGAAAAAAATACAATTTTGTTGTCACAAAAAACAAGGGAAATATAGCTCACTTCCTTTATCTGCATAGGCCCCAAAATTATAAAATTGTGGAAGTAAATGATTAAATGTGGAAAATAATAAATTAATTTATTAGTATGGTGTTTCGTGAGATAAAAGATCACATGTGTAAAAGATTTTTATTTTTATTTTTATTTTTCCAGGGATATACATGAAGCGGTAACTTCTTCTTTTTTAAGTACAAACGATAACATTGGTACAGAGAAACACATAAGATTTTGTGTAAGTGAAGAAAGTATGGAGAATAAACATGTACTTATGTTGAAAAGGTCATGGTCATTAATTAGTTATTAGTTTTGTAATTACCCGTAATATAATGTATTTGGGCAAATATTCCTCATATTAGAATGTTTTAAAAGAAGTAGTACACCATGGCGCTATATTAATTAGATCCTTTGTTGATCCTCTTGTGATTATGTCTAGAAAATTCCATCGTTTTAGATTTTCATTTAAATAAATTCTAAATACTAAACTCTAAGTTTGAATTCAAACACTCAATTCTTAAACTCTAATTAATACATGAATGTCCAGATAAATTTATTTAAGTTATTCAAGTGTATCAATCCATCGTCGAGCCATGTACATTTTGGGTTCTTGTAGGTATTTTGATTGTATCTCTAATTTTGTTCATAGCATTTTTTAAAAATATGTTATGAATCACGGAGGTTTGTCAATGGGTCTATAACTCAGTAGTAAGAGTATTAGAAAGAACTTAAAAGAAAGAAGTAACAAGTTTTTTGTTTTCTTTATGAAGTTACAAAAGCATCACAAAAGAAATAAATTTTTTTTAAAGACGGTAATATATATACTTTGATGAAAAAGGAAAGATCATTAATTATATGATTTGATTTTTTATTTTATTTGAAGAAGAAGTAGAAAATTTCATTCAACTATCAAGTTACTGACTCGAATGAACAAACGTGACCTCATTTTTTTAAGCTAATTACATTTATAGATTGCCACAGTATCTTTCTTAAACAAACGGCAAAGCCAACCAAGTTATCAACGTCAGCTTAAAGAAAGATGGTTATTTGATAAAGTATAAATAAGGAAAAGGAAAGAAAGAAGTGAAAATCAATAAATAAAAAAGGAGCATTTCCAATCCAAACCCCACCTTTTATCTGTATGCTATATATATTTAGATTGCCTTATCCACCACCTCCGCCAGAGGTCCAATAATATCTCTCTACTTCTTCTACACCACCGACGGCTATCTCCACTGAAACCATCACCAAAATAACTATTCAAATTTCTCTACAACCGACAATGTCATTGTTCTCCCCTGTATAATTAGATTTTTATTTTTATTTTTTATGAGGGATAAATAGTCGAATAGATCAAGTATCAGAAGTTAGAGCACTTTCACTCATGGTGCTATGGCAAAAGAGTAGGAACAAGTAAGGCAGATACTATTCACGTGAATAGTCATGTCCTAGCAACTTTTTTATTTTTTACTTTTCCACTCATTATCATGGCAACTCAAGGGTAATTACTATTTACATGGGATTAATTTTAATTTTATGTATGAGATTAATAATAAAAAAATTTGCTAGGTATGTATAAAAAAAAGATTCAAAATTTTTTTAAAAAATTTTATTCGCTAACGTTAGCACTGACGTTAGCGCCCTCAAGCAACAACTCGGGTTGTTCTTGCCTTCGGACCTGCCCAGTCGTCATGGAGCCCACCATCTGCCAAGGCTGGATTTGTGTGGTGGAGTGGGTTTCTTCAACTTGAAAAAGGGGAGGGGGGGTGGGCGCTTTTGCCCATACTAGACTCTGCGGTGAAAGTGCTCTTAAAAGGGTCACGTTAATTATATTTGGGGATCCAATTAGGAATATTAACCTATCCAATAAATAAATTACGGGCACGTGACATGGTTAGCCAAACTTCAGGAACTAGCTTCTTCCTTACTTATTTGAATGCATTAGATCAGACGATAAGAAGAGGTGGACATACTGGATTACATATAGGTTTTGTTATTGTTATTTTTAAATACAAAACGATATTGGTAGAGGGACTGGAAAATCGAGAAGATGATATCGAATGAATGAGCAAATCGTTTTAACTATTTGAGATACATGTCCTTTACACTTGTGATAAGCTAAATCCAAATAATCGTCAAATTGGGGCTCTCGTCCTAAACTCACTGTTTGCTACTACATATACATATACTAAACAATGTACATTGGGCGGGAAATTATTTTTCTTTATTAGCTAATATATATATATATATATATATATTATATGTTGGAAGTCAAATTTAATAGATGTGTGTTTGGAGGGGACGCATGCTTCATGCATGGTATCATGTACAGCTGATGATGATCATTCGAAAATCCATATAGGTAAGATCCATCCATATATATTTGTCACTTTCATGTACAAATGGTAAATGATAATATTAATTAGCGTGCACGAGGAAGCGAAAAATAATGTACCTGTGGCTGTGGTGTGTGGGGTTAAAGTGAATTGGACAATGTATATTAGGGGAAAGCAGGTCAGACACTCTATGCAACATTATTGTCCAAAAACTAATCAAATTCCGGTTCAAATTATTTATCTGGGTTTTTGCTACTGTTATGGGTTATGCAACATTATAGCATGCAGGTCTCAACCTACATGCTCTATATATATACATATTTTTTTCATATATAGGCGTTTAGACGTTATTATTGTGTGGACGTCATTGTATTTTTTTTATACTACTTCCTGCTTTGCTCTTTATTTACAGTAATGTCTACACTGTAATAACGTCCATACGTCCGCATAGGAGAAGAACAGTCTATGTATACCAATCCCACTCACCTAAAAACAAGGTCAAGTAAGGTATTTTTTATATAACAGCCCTTAGATTATTCTAACAACACTCATAATCAACAATCTTATCCCTCCCTAATCATACTATTTGTCTTACTCAAACGCTCCTTTATTTTATAAAATAAAAATAAATAAACAAATAAAGGAGAAGGGATACACGCTTCTTCATCTTCCAGCTTCACTGCATCTTCTTTCTTCTATGCGCGACCTTTTCTTGATTATGTATCCCTATCTCGCTTTCTTCTTTGCATCTACTGCTCAATCTTCTTCGTCTCTTGGTGCGTTTAAATTGGGGCTTTTATATGTTTTACGTAATTTGCGAATTAGTCTCTTCTAACTCAAACAACCTCATCTTCTTCTGCGAATTGTAATTATAATTGACATTCTGGTACAATAAGTTGCTTATTTTCTGCAATTACTTTTCAGGCAGTCAAAATAAGAAGTGACTTCATTGGCACCGAAAGATGCTCACATGCTTGAAAGCATGATGCAGGCACTGTTGTTGTAATTCTCCTAGTATAATTGACTATATACATATATACCCTCTTATTTGAACGCTGTCATTTCTCTCTCTCCCTCTCTCTTTCAGAAAAAGGTGCTGAAAATTTTGATACACTCAGGCTGGCTCTATGTTGCTCATCAAACACTTTCTAAAATATATCTTTGACCTGTCCATTTGACTCTTTTTTTTATTTTTTTTGGAAAGATAAAATATTATTTCTTTTAAAACATACAAATCAAAAAGAAGGCCAACCAGAGCAAAGCCAGTAAAGGAGAAGAAAACTGGTCAACCCACACTGAGGGAAATCAGAAACAGTGCGATGATCTGACCACTGATCGCTATTAACAATCATCACCGATCCATACAAATCTCAGCGAGACACAAGAAATCTGCCATTAACGGACAGACAAATCTCCATAACCTTGAATTTTGGAGAAAATCAATTAGGATAATATTATTATTAGTGGTGGGTCAAGGATCGAGAAGAAAATTATCTGCTGCAAACAAAGTAACAGTTAAAATTTTTGGGTTAGAATTGAATTTGACCCATATTCCTAATTGATTTCCAATATCTAGAAACATATACAAGCTGCAATTGGCCAAGAACTTGATCTGTGGGCTGTATCCGAAAAAAAGAAAGTTGCAGTCCTTTTTCATGAATCATCTTTTTCTCATGGGCAGAAATAAATTAGTCCAGACATACTTTCGCAGAAATAAATTCATAAATATTTGCAGTCCTTTTTGGTCTCTAGCTACGTAGTTGGGTTGCAGATCAAACCCTCTCCGAATATGGATCAATTAGAAATTTGATGAAAGCAGGCAGACAGGGTCCTTGGTTCGTGGAAGCACTTTCTTAAGTTTAATTTATTTATCTTTAATGGGTCTTCTTAGATTTATACATATAAATTATATATATATATATATGTGTGTGTGTTTTCATCATCATGACAAGGAAACTTGGAGAGGGCCCGATCTCCATAATAGGGGGTGGGGTGGTATATGTATCTGTCAGCCTTCAGATTTACACAATTTCTCAAAATTTGTGCCAATGAGTTTAAATTTTAAGATTGTGTAGCATATATTTGAATTATATTCATCTCATGTATTCATGCTCACCCCCAAAAATACTCTCATATAGCTAGTTTTCTTTTCATAATTATAATTTAATTATAATAAACTGGGT